GCGAACTTTTTTTTGTGTCCTCTTAATGTTCATTTTTTGTATAAAATCAGATATGTAACTGTATAACCTTGCATAATAAAGTGTACACCATAAAAAAGGGGGTGGTAGGAGAAGCGAACACACTTATGTATTCAGAGTTATATGGCAAGTTTTTCTCTGAATGCTCTGTGTTCCCTTCTCTAAAGCTGTGGGTCCCTATATTTGCACCAGAGGTGGAACCCGCCTATATATATATATATATATATATATATATATATATATATATATATATATATATATATATATATATATCACAGGGTAATATATATATATATCACAGGGTAATTATACAGGTATATATAATCACAGGGTAAAATTGCAAGACATGAAGAAGTCAACGACATCATCAAGAGGAGCCTCGCCACAGCCCGCTGCCCGGCACAAAGAGAACCACACTTATCCAGACCTAACGACCCTCAGAAGCGCCCTGATGGGGTCACCTTGCTACCTTGGAAGGATGGTAAGCAAGTGGTATGGGACTACACGTGCGCTGCCACACTGGCCAGTACCTACCTCCACTACAGCACACGTGAAAGCGGTGGTGCTGCTTCTTTCAGGGAATCGCAGAAAATTATTAAATACAGAGGTCTAGCACACTGCTACAGCTTTGTTCCGATCGGCTCGGAGACCCTCGGTTCGTGGGGAAAATGTGCATTGAAGTTCCTGAAGGAGTTGGGGGACAAATTGATCAGCGCTACAAAAGACCAGAGAGCAAAAAGTTTCTTGTTCCAGCGCCTCAGTGTTGCGATTCAGAGGGGAAATGCCTGTTGCGTCTTGGGCACTAGTCCAACTTCAGAGGAATTCGAAGAAGTGTTTGACTTGCAACAATGATCGAACCCGTCTGTGACATTCATCAATGTTTCCCATTGTTGTGTTCTTCAAGAGATTCATAACCTTTAAGCACCTTTTTGCATTATTATTTTTGTATCAACCCATGTATATCTTGTAACCATCAAATGCATAATAAAGCACAAAAAATATTCAAGGAAGGGGGTGGTAGGAGATAAGCACACAGAAACTGTATTGGAGGGGATCTAAACATTCCCTCTAATGCGTTATGCGTGGTTTCCTCCGAGGCTATGGTCCCCCTTCTTCCAGCTAGAGGTGGTACTCCCTTCCTTTTTTAATTTTATATATATATATATATATATATATATATATATATAATATATATATATATATATATATATATATTATATATATATATATATATATATATATATATATATATATATATATATATATATATATATATATATATATATATATATATAGGGTAGCCCCAAGCCAGATGCTTGGGGCTAGCCTCACCCAACTTTGCAGGGGGAATGGTCTGAGGTACGGGAGACTACTGACAGGCTGGTCGTTTACATATATATATATATATATATATATATATATATATATATATATATATATATATATATATATATATATATATATATATATATATATATATATATATATATAACTTTGCAGGGGGAACGGTCTGTGGTACGGGAGACTACTGACAGGCTGGTCGTATTAGGCTCTCAGGCGATTTTCATGAAGTCTGAAATATCTGATACTTTTAGTGATTGTAATCAATGTTTCGAGACTCCATACAGTTGTTTCAGTGCTTCACAATGATAAATTATCAAAGATCAGGTGGGAGGGTGGAAGTTGGGGGGGGGGAGGGGGCGCGGGGAAGCCAGAGGGAGACCAATGGCTGGGAACGAAGGGCTAAAGGGGGAAATGGGAAGTGAAGAGAGAGGTGGAAAGGGAAGAAAAATTGGGAGAGGAGGAGAGGATATAGGGAGAGGTGAAAAGGAAAACTGGTGGGAGGGGAGACTCGGAGGGGGGGTGATCTATGAGAGAAAGTCATGTCTGTCTTCCCAAGGTTGGATACCAGACGCTTGGCGCTAGCCTCACCCAGCCTCGGTGAAGGAGGGAATGGTCTGGGGTGCGGGACGGACATAGGCTGGTCGTAGTTGTTAGAATTCATGAGGGAAGAGTGTGTCAGAGTCACACTCAGACCTCTACGACGGTTTGTGACACTGCCCGCTGGCTACACTGGCTGGCTGTATGTTAGCCTGTTGTATGTATCTTGAGGTTATCTTGAGATGATTTCGGGGCTTTAGTGTCCCCGCGGCCCGGTCCTCGACCAGGCCTCCACCCCCAGGAAGCAGCCCGTGACAGCTGACTAACTCCCAGGTACCTATTTACTGCTAGGTAACAGGGGCATTCAGGGTGAAAGAAACTTTGCCCATTTGTTTCTGCCTCGTGCGGGAATCGAACCCGCGCCACAGAATTACGAGTCCTGCGCGCTATCCACCAGGCTACGAGGCCCCTTTTCCAGGTTCATATAGCCCTCTGTATGTACATACAGCCCCCCCCCCCCTGTGTATACATAGAGCCCTCAGTATGTACATATAGCCCTCAGTATGTACATATAGCCCTCTGTATGTACATATAGCCCTCTGTTTGTACATATAGCCCTCTGTATGTACATATAGCCCTTTGTATGTACATATAGCCCTCTGTATGTACATATAGCCCCCCCTGTGTATACATAGAGCCCTCAGTATGTACATATAGCCCTCAGTATGTACATATAGCCCTCTGTATGTACATATAGCCCTCTGTTTGTACATATAGCCCTCTGTATGTACATAAAGCCCTCTGTATGTACATATAGCCCTCTGTATGTACATAAAGCCCTCTGTATGTACATATAGCCCTCTGTATGTACATATAGCCCTCTGTATGTACATATAGCCCTCTGTATGTACATATAGCCCTCTGCATGTACATATAGCCCTCTGTATGTACATATAGCCCTCTGTATGTACATATAGCCCTCTGTATGTACATAAAGCCCTCTGTATGTACATATAGCCCTCTGTATGTACATATAGCCCTCTGTTTTGTACATATAGCCCTCTGTATGTACATATAGCCCTCTGTATGTACATATAGCCCTCTGTATGTACATAAAGCCCTCTGTATGTACATATAGCCCTCTGTATGTACATATAGCCCTCTGTATGTACATATAGCCCTCTGTATGTACATATAGCCCTCTGTATGTACATATAGCCCTCTGTATGTACATAAAGCCCTCTGTATGTACATATAGCCCTCTGTATGTACATATAGCCCTCTGTATGTACATATAGCCCTCTGTATGTACATATAGCCCTCTGTATGTACATATAGCCCTCTGTATGTACATAAAGCCCTCTGTATGTACATATAGCCCTCTGTATGTACATAAAGCCCTCTGTATGTACATATAGCCCTCTGTATGTACATATAGCCCTCTGTATGTACATATAGCCCTTTGTATGTACATATAGCCCTCTGTACGTAAATATTGCCCTCTGTATGTACATATTGCCCCGCTGGCTATGTTTAAAAAACAAACAAAAAAATCTTATAGTAATATAAACCATTATTAAGTGATCTCGAAAAAACTAACCTAAACTTTTTGCTATTCAAACTTTGGCCATAGTAGCATAAAACGGACGATCCTCCCACAGCTTCCAGGGCTTTCTCAAGCCCCGCCCCTTCTCAAAACAAATGGGTGACTTATATTTTTTAATAATTTCCACTGGTAGCCCGCCCAAACGCCAATGGTAGACTATTTACTATCTCAAATGTTTACACGTTTTTCTCCTGTTTTCCAGATGTAAGTCTCTCTCTCTCTCTCTCTCTCTCTCTCTCTCTCTCTCTCTCTCTCTCTCTCTCTCTCTCTCTCTCTCTCTCTCTCTCTCTCTCTCTCTCTCTCTCTCTCTCTCTCTCTCTCTCTCTCTCTCTCTCTCTCTCTCTCTCTCTCTCTCTCTCCTCTCTCTCTCTCTCTCTCACGTCTTCACAGCCGAGAGCAGTCTGTCCTGATAGAACGTCGTATTTTGACGTATACTCTACCTAAGGCCAAAAATCGTCGTACTTGAAAATGACAGCGGTTCGCGATATTTACATATTGTCCCGTTTTCTATCTTGGGTCCTCTGATAGGTTAGGATACGGGCACTTTAGTACGACCGTTTCTTGTCGCTGGGAAGCCTTATGAGGTCCGGCTGCCGAGAGAACATCTTTATATAGATGGACTCTGTCCCATAAACGTTACACAGTCGGCAGCCGTCCCACAAACGTTACACAGCCGGCAGCCGTCCCACAAACGTTACACAGCCGGCAGCCGTCCCATAAACGTTACACAGCCGGCAGCCGTCCCATAAACGTTACACAGCCGGCACACAAACGTTACACAGCCGGCAGCCGTCCCACAAATGTTACACAGCCGGCATCCGTCCCACAAACGTTGCACCGCCAACACACAAACGTTGCACAGCCGGCAGCCGTCCCATAAACGTTACACAGCAAGCAGCCGCCCAAAAAACGTTACACAGCTGGCCCACAAACGTTGCACAGCCGGCACACAAACGTTACACAGCCGGCAGCCGTCCCACAAACGTTGCACGTGTCTTCAAACAGCTGACAAGGGTTGGAGCCAGCTGACCGCCCCCCCCCCCCCCAGATCACTCAACACAGTCTCGGGTCCTCACCAGCTGGCCAGGCTCACGCTAAGTTATTATGTCAAGCAACTCCGTGAAATTCTAAGTGAAAAACACTGACAATTTATATATCTTATTGAGAGAATTATTAAACGTCATAGTTCGATTTCGTTTTTAAATATATTCCTTTATTTAGTCATTAATTGGGGAAAATATATATATTGCGACCGTTGGAAATTATAAGAAAAAGAGTATGATACAATTGTTTCATTCAATTTTCCCTAAAAAATAATAATAAACTCCAGCGACGGTAACGGAATCAATGCTTACTTGAAATTAAAAAAAATGAACAAAATTTAAAATTGATTATAACCCACGGTGACAGACACACACATTCTCCATGCAATGAAAGAACAACAGTCCCCTGACACTCAGAAATATATATATATACAGTTTCCTCAAGCACTTACTCAAGTTCCAGGACAAGCGAGTGATGAGAGAGAGCGCGAGACGATCAACCTCCCACCACGACGGTTCAACACACACTGACTCCTCCAGCCTTGCCCTGAGCATCTCCCTCCACAGCTGATGTGCGACCAGTTGCCATGTCGTCTTATTGTCCACCCGCCTCCTGCAACCACGTGACTTGACTCACGTTTGTGTATGCAAATCACCAACTTTGCAGACGGGTTCTGACGTAACAAAATTGGCTCAATTAACGATGTTTATTTTCCATTTTTTCCCCTTAAATTTGCAGTCTACTTGAAAGGATAAATTAGCAATTTAACACTATCAAGGACAGTGAGAAATTCTCGTTAAATTAGTTATTTAAAGAAAAAATAATTTTTGCTGTGAGTTGACTGATGTTAACATTAACTTAAATGGTTGTATTAATTATATTAAATAATTAGCTAAATTAATAATAGGAGGTTCAGTTCCTAATTCCACTATCACCCACGACAACCCGTCCTCGCACTTTCTTACAGTCAATATTGACTTATTAAATACGTACATATGTAACATACTAAACATACTAGTTTACCTTGAAAAGCTTCATAGAAAACACCGACCTTACCTAACCTTCTTAGTATGTTAAGATAAGCATCTTATTGCTTCGTAATTACAATTATTACTTAACCTATACCTATAATAGGTTAAGTAATAATTGTAATTACGAAGCAATAAGATGCTTATCTTAACATACTAAGAAGGTTAGGTAAGGTCGGTGTTTTCTATGAAGCTTTTCAAGGTAAACTAGTATGTTTAGTATGTCACATATGCACGTATTTAATAAGTCAATATTGACTATACGAAAGTGCGAGAACGGGTTGCACAGGATGGGGATATGGGTTCACTATCACCCTCAGGATGGGTAAGGGGTCCACTACCGCCCTCAGGATGGGTAAGGGGTCCACTACCGCCCTCAGGATGGGTAAGGGGGTCCACTACCGCCCTCAGGATGGGTAAGGGGTCCACTACCGCCCTCAGGATGGGTAAGGGGTCCACTACCGCCCTCAGGATGGGTAAGGGGGTCCACTACCGCCCTCAGGATGGGTAAGGGGTCCACTACCGCCCTCAGGATGGGTAAGAGGTCCACTACCGCCCTCAGGATGGGTAAGGGGTCCACTACCGCCCTCAGGATGGGTAGGGGGGTCCACTACCGCCCTCAGGATGGGTAAGGGGTCCACTACCGCCCTCAGGATGGGTAAGGGGTCCACTACCACCCTCAGGATGGGTAAGGGGGTCCACTACCGCCCGCAGGATGGGCACAAGACGTATAATTGACTAATTCAAGTAATTAACGTCAGTGCTTGGGTGTGATGGGGGCAAGTGGTGGTCATTTAGCGAGGCGGAGGTCGTTAGGGATCGCTGATCGACCTCCAGTCCTCCGGGACGAGACAGGGACGACCTGGGAGTCCTCAACTATCCCTGGCAGTTATTGGACGGCCTTGGCCTATCCTCTCGCTTAACGTATCACGTTTTGAACGCATTCGACCAATCCGTTAAAAATGCAACGCATTAGTGAATGTTAAAGCACGGCAATATTAACGTTTTCCCATCATCGGATTCGATTGTTTACGTTCAAATGTTTCTGTTTAGCAAAACTCTTAAATGTTTCTGTTTAGCAAAACTCTTAAATGTTTCTGTTTAGCAAAACTCTTAAATGTTTCTGTTTAGCAAAACTCTTAAATGTTTCTGTTTAGCAAAACTCTTAAATGTTTCTGTTTAGCAAAACTCTTAAATGTTTCTGTTTAGCAAAACTCTTAAATGTTTCTGTTTAGCAAAACTCTTAAATGTTTCTGTTTAGCAAAACTCTTAAATGTTTTTTTTACGTAAACGACCAATTCATTAAAAAAGCGACGTAATACTGACGTTTTCTATGCGTCAGTGACCATAGGTTAGGTGGGATGGTTGGGTGCGTGTCTTTCTGGTTTGGCCAAACAGTTGTCATTTTTTACGGAGTGGCAAATTGAAAGAATTGCCAGCCATATATTGTCCAGCTGCCACGAGACTCACGTGCAGCATGCGGCAGCTGTGCGACGCTTCCAGCGGCGAGCAACAAACTCAAATCGTTAGCAAAAGATCTTTTTCACGTGAACATTTCTTAAACTTTTAGGTCACTTCTGGCCATCACAAATGGCAATCTTCGATGGCAATTTTATGCGACTGCAATTCCCAAGATGTTGCAAAGCCGCACTAAAGTTGAAAATTGATTTGCCTGAAGATTATATTTAGCCTAGAGGTATAATAGGTCTATAAAACCTTCAGGACCTTTAATTGAAGATAAGGTGACGAGTACCTTGGGTTCCCCCACACCTTGCTCAGGCTGCATCCTGCCCTGGTGCAGAATGCAGGCCACAACAGCTCCCTAACTCCCTTACCTCCCGTTGGCTCAAAGGATCAATGTCACAGTAACTGGTCTCTGGCTATAGGCGTTCTGGTTAGTATTCACCAAGTTGTATTTGCGGGGGTTGAGCTTTGCTCTTTCGGCCCGCCTCTCAACTGTCAATCAACTGTTTATTAACTACTTTTTTTCCCCCACACCACACACACACACACCTCAGGAAGCAGCCCGTGACAGCTGACTAACTCCCAGGTACCTATTTACTGCTAGGTAACAGGGGTATTCAGGGTTAAAGAAACTTTGCCCGTTTATTTATTACCTGCATCTACTTCCTCATCACTATCGAGTTGAGAATGGTCCAGGACGGACCGAAACGTCGGCGTCCCTTCACCTTCTAGTGAACTTTGGTCAACTTTGCCCATTTGTTTCTGCCTGGTGCGGGAATCGAATGTGCGCCACAGAATTACGAGACCTGCTCGCTATCCACCAGGCTACCAGGCCCCTAGTGTGTTTAACCAGGCTGTTAGACGCGGTCGCTTGCAGCCTTACGTATCAATCGCAGCCTTTGGTCAACCAGGCTGTCGCTGCAAGGTGAAAAAAGGCTTGAAATGTATAGGAAATGTGGCCATAACGTCTACCGAGAAACAAACGCGGAACCATTGGATTATGAATCCATATCATCTTTTGTCCTCGATCTTCCAGTGGAAGACTCTAAACCTTCCATAACAGCGCCTGTTGCTCCATTCACAAGGGGCCGTGCTCCAGAGAACGCCATACTCATCACCGTGCTCCGGAGAACGCCATACGTTCTCCAAGTCTAATAGCAACGGGCTCAACAATGCAAGGGAAATGACGTAGTCAGCAACGGTTGAGGTGTGACCTTGCTCGGGCTCCTGGTCTCCGGCACGTGTCTTGTGTACGGCATCACAACCACGCCTCCTGTTTAGACAGTACCTATTGTGACAGTCGGCAATAGTCACGACTTTGTACGTACTCTTTTTTAGCTTTTAGATATTAGTATACTGACTAGTAAGGAATTATTTTATAGTAAATGAACCTAAAATACAAACTTAAATATGTATAGCACACATATGTACTATATTAAGACTCAGATATCGTGTATTAGGCCTTAGGTTAGGTTAGGTTAGGTTAGGTTAGGTTAGGTTAGGTTAGGTTAGGTTAGGTTAGTGTGGGTTGTCAAAGCAACACAAGTCAAAATATAGTTTTCCGGTTTGTCCAAGTCAGTATAGTTCAGATTTCTAGTTTCTAATTTCGTTATAGGTCGGTATATATACTATAGTCCTCATCGTTACTATAAGTACTACCAAAATAGGAGGATTTGCTGGATATACAGACACAAGCCGGTCCCGCGTGATATATATATATATATATATATATATATATATATATATATATATATATATATATATATATATATATATATATATATATATATACATATATATATATATATATATATATATATATATATATATATATATATATATATATATATATATGTCGTACCTAGTAGCCAGAACGCACTTCTCAGCCTACTATGCAAGGCCCGATTTGCCTAATAAGCTAAGTTTTCCTGAATTAATATATTTTCTCTAATTTTTTTTCTTATGAAATGATAAAACTATCCATTTCATAATGTATGACGTCAATTTTTTGTTATTTTAGTTAAAATTAACGTAGATATATGACCGAACCTAACCAACCCTACCTAACCTAACCTATCTCTATAGGTTAGGTTAGGTTAGGTAGCCGAAAAAGTTAGGTTAGGTTAGGTTAGGTAGGTTAGGTAGTCGAAAAACAATTAATTCATGAAAACTTGGCTTATTAGGTAAATCGGGCCTTGCATAGTAGGCTGAGAAGTGAGTTCTGGCTACTAGGTACGACATATATATATATATATATATATATATATATATATATATATATATATATACATACATGCGAACAAGCCTGAATGGTCCCCAGGACTATATGCGAATGAAAACTCACACCCCAGAAGTGACTCGAACCCATACTCCCAGAAGCAACGCAACTGGTAACTACAGGGCGCCTTAATCCGCTTGACCATCACGGCCGTCAAAAGGAAGTGATAGCCGAGGCTATTTGAGCCACTTCCCCGACGGCAACTCGGATGGTAATCTTGGGCATAGCATTTCACCAAATCACCTCATTCTTTGGGGCACACGTGAGGAACACAAATGCGAACAAGCCTGAATGGTCCCCAGGACTATATGCGAATGAAAACTCACACCCCAGAAGTGACTCGAACCCATACTCCCAGAAGCAACGCAACTGGTAACTACAGGGCGCCTTAATCCGCTTAATAGCGGATTAAGGCGCCCTGTAGTTACCAGTTGCGTTGCTTCTGGGAGTATGGGTTCGAGTCACTTCTGGGGTGTGAGTTTTCATTCACATACATATATATATATATATATATATGTATATATATATATATATATATATATATATATATATATATATATATATATATATATATATATATATATATAAAAATATGACGCAGCAATAATCACAAAAGAAACACGCAATTAGGTTAGGCTTAAGTATCTACTAGGTAATGGGATTGAAAATTCCAAAACGTTTTCGTGATTCACAACAATACCAAGAATACATTCCGAAAACGTTCGGAAATTTTCTAGTGGATACTTAC